TATTTGTGCCACTCCAAAAAATTATTTTTGTCCACTATATGACAGCGGACCCCACAGAACGGTACGGAGTTCTTTGTTACCGGGCCACGAGAGTTGAGGCTCGGGTGTGAAATTCAGGGGTTTTATTGTTTTTAGCGTTATTTTTTTGTTTCTTATTATTTTAATCATTAACTTGGTGTCTCTCATTTTTTTCCCGTTTGTTTTCTTTTTTTATTTGGTACCAGTACTGGTTTTATTTTGTTGTATTCATCCGCGACACCTTAAAGGCCAATCCGTGAAAATACTATCGGACATAAATCGGTCCGTGGCGCAAAAAAGGTTGGGGACCACTGCTATAAGATAAAGGAGCACATCACAAGCCTGATACCTGCAGGCCTGACAACAGGAGATGTATCACTCCTCCTGTTTTCCACCTGGAGACAGAGTTTACTTTGTAACCTGCCTTTGGTGGCTTTTTGGCAGCAACTGTGACATTCAGCAGTCGCCTCATTGTTCTGACACTACACACTAACTACACAACACAACACACTAACTTTAGAATTCAGTCTCCATGAATCTGCAAACAGAGACACTCTCCAAGAAACTGTCTGACTGCCTCTTTCTCTGTCATCTTATATTTCTGCTTCAAATGGTTATGTGTTCTATTCCGAGTCAAAACTCTGTTTATAGCAAAGTCTGTGTTTGTGCAGATCAGAGATCTTCCGCCGCTAGAGGCTGTATTGGCTTGAAATACTGCCCCCTTCTGACAGAATTTCATGTGACAGCAGAGATCCAGGTGATCTCTCCTGTTTTATCTCTCTCCATTACTTCTCCAATGCATTCAGTGGCTTCCTCATAAATTGACATTTACAATAATGAATTATACAGCTGTGGGGAGTAGACTTCATCACAGTAGATACCTTTCTGAAAGTGCTGTAACTAAGTTTAAGAATAAAATTCTCCCACTGTTACCATCTTCAATGCCCTGTACCAACACAGAGCAGAGCAGCTACCTGAATCCTACTCCAACAGAGGTTGATTATTTTGTTAATCATTTTATCTCCTCACTACCTAGCTCCTCTGAAAAATAAAGCCTCAAATCAGAAGTTCTTGACTCCATGGTATAACTCTCAAACGTGGACCTTAAAGCAGATAACTCGTAAGCTGGAGAGGAAATGGCTTATCACAAAATTGAAAGATCATCATTTAGCCTGGAGAAATAGTTTGTTGCTTCACTGATTAAAGAAAATAAGAACAACCCTAGGTTTCTCTTCAGCACTGTAGCCAGGCTGACAAACAGTCAGAGCTCTGCTGAGCCAACCATTCCTTTTACATTAATGAGTAATGGCTTCATGAAGTTCTTCACAAATAAATTTTAACTATTAGACCAATTATATATGCTTCCCTTTGGCAGTATCATCAGAAGACATAGCATACATTTTCACTGCTATGCAGATGACACCCAACTCTATCTATCCATGAAGCCAGATAACACACACCAATTAGTTAAACTGCAGGAATGTTTTACAGAAATAAAGATGTGGATGACCTCTAATTTTCTGGTTCTGGACAATAAACAGTACATTGCACAACAACTGAAACCAGCCCAATGAATGAACAGTGAACTGTGTCGGGGAACCCCCAATTTGAACCTGAACCAATGACTTGGTGGTATTCCAGGGTAGGATAACAAAGCCCTCTTTTCCGCTTCTTCCACTTACAAGTCGGCCACAATGGTTGATATTGGGGAACCCATGGCACACCCATGTTTCTGTCTAATAACTTGTATGTGAAATTAGTGGAATTAAGACACAGTTCCTTCAAAATGTAAAAGAACCCACCCACCACTTTAATAACACTCTTGTTCTGACATACTGAATACAAACAGAATATTTAACAGTATTTCCTGAAAACCTTTTTTATCTGATCATGTCTTAGAAACATTTCACTTTACAATAATGAATTACACAACAGTGGGGAATAGATATCATCACAGTAGATTTCTTTCCATAAGGGATATAACCATAGCTGGACTGGCCATCGAGCATACCGGGTATTTGCCCAGTGGGGAGATGATGATTCTTCGTTTTTATGGGCCGATGGGTTTTGTTTGTTTGTTTGTTTTGTAACGGTATAAACGATGAAAGGTGGTGGATTGGCCTGATGCTGGCCGGTGTGTAAAAATAACTCAGTTGTTTGGTGGTGGCTATGGTGGAGCTTTCACAGAGGCCAGCAAGTGGATGAGGAAAAGGGAAGGCAGGACGAGGAGAGACCCGAGGCGGCCGCCGGTCTGAGTGTCAGGTGAACTGAACTTCAGGTAAGAAGTTATGACCTGCAGTCTATCTGGGTCAGATATAAACCAAGTTTAGTTGTAGCTATTTTCGTTGTGCTAACTTTTTACAATCAGTTACAATAACTCGTACTGCATACTAGCTAGCATGTCTGGGTGGGTGCTATGATGTTACTGATAGTGAACTATATTTTATTCATAAGGTTAGTTATTAGAGTTGCCAACCATCCCATAAAAAATGGAATCGTCCCGCATTCGGAGAAAACATTACGTGTTTCGTATTGAGCTAAAAAGGAACACAGTTTGTCCCGTACTTCAGCTAGAATGGAAAAAGACACAAAGCTGGAGTTATTCGGCTTCTTTGCGCTGCACAGCTGCCTCTTCTCCTCTCATTCTCTCCCCCTCCCTCACCTGTTGCTACTTCAATCATGAAACTGATCAATGATCAGCTGATCGGCTTTTCTCTCTTGTTTGTTTATCGCCCACTTT